AACGCTAAAAGTACAAATGATAATAATAACTGCTATATATAACAACACTAGTGCTTAACAATAAAAACCAATGGCAACAAATATTGATAAGTGCAATTTGAAATATTTGCACAACGTTTAGATGCAAACATTGTAAATTGCATTTAGATAAATTGATGTCAGGATATAAATCGATTTGTTTCATGAATTGCAGGAATCACACTTGAGGTACTTATAAATAGAGAACTAATTTCAAATTAATATGTTGAATTGATTTTCATGAGAGATAAATTAAATTCATAACTAGCGCCGTATGAAATCATTTATTTAGGTGTTTTAATGCATAAATTGATGGGCAAATTATAGATTGAATTGTTTTTGTTTTCAAATTTCCTATTACATTTATCATTCAATTCAGGTGTCTATGGATTGTAATCGGAAATCTAATGAATAATGTTTGATTGATTAGGACGAAAATAGTACATTTCTAATATGAATTAATAGTCTTAGGATTAATTGTTAGTAAGTTTTGGTAAAATTCTTTCTTTGGGCTTTTTTCACACTTAACTTAATGAGGAGCTTATTGGTTCAAATTGGGCTTTGCATCTCATCCATTGGGTTATTGTCTAATGGCAAGACTTTATGGCTTTTTAATGAGCCCAAAATGTGCGGGCCATAAATCAAAGCCTTATGCGAAGGGCGTGTCTAGTGGGCGGGTGGGTGGTTGGGTGTTTAGTTAACACATCGGCACACATGGATATGGAGTCGTAGTATCGCATTATGCGAAAGCTTATCGGAAACTCAACATCACCAGCATCGATGGCGAGGCTGTCTCCTGCCTAATGCCATTAAATCCTATCAATTTCCCTCGCCCAGCAACAAATTTAAATATTTATGCTCTGGCTTAGGCCGGCAACAATAGCTCGGAAAAGGAAAGGTTCAAAAATTGGCCATAAAAAGTATTTGGGGATGGGTTGAAAAGATGGTCGCCTAAGCAAATTGAACACAAGAGCGTCCAAGCACTTAATTGAACCTATCAATATGTAGATGGATACATATAGCCTTATGAAATGCCCATGTGTTTACTTGGACATTTTCTTGTTGCCTTTTTATGTTGTGAAACCCCTTTTTCATTATTTGTTTTACTTTAATTTTGTATCCAATTAACTTAAGTTTGCAGCTGCTAAAAGTTTATTTTTCCGCCATTTTGCAAGTTTTATGAACACGTTCATCTTCTCAGAAACTACAAAACTTGAATTGTCTGTTAATTTGGGATTTATTCTGCGGCAGCTGAACTTTGGCCAGTTTAAGTAAAAGTAAAGAGGAAAATAAATTAAATCTTGTCTTAACCAGCCACAAATGCAATTTGCTATATGTGATTTATCCCTAGAGATAATATTACATTACACATTAATAAATTGTAATGCATTATATAAATATACAGATACTTATTTTCAATAGTCAATCTTTCATTTGGACATTTTAAAAAGGTCAAACATTTTAGTAAGACCATTAAAATAATAATATCAATGAAAGCACGCTTCTTAAAAGTAAAATTAAAGAATAACCAGCCTTAATTAACTGCTGTCGCACATGTATAGCATTTCATTGAGATTTCTGGACGACATAGCTACACCTGCGAGGCATCGCATTCCGCGCCACTTTCGTTTTTTTTTGTCGCTCATAAATTTTGCAGTGTCTGTGGCATGTCAGAGCCCCTTTCTGCCCCACCATTTTCCGCGGAGTGCGTGATGGCGATGGCAGTCAGCCAAAAACGAGAAAAATCTGTCAACGGCACTTTTCTCGTTCCCTTGATGGCAGCCTCTTCCCCTTCCCCCTTCCTTCCGCTTCCTTCGCCCGATTCCGCCACTCACGGCAGCATGTTGTGCTGTTTTATGCCACTAAATATGCCAAAGCGCGCGTAAATTGATTTAAACACGGCGACAAGGACGAGGCGGCTTCTCCAAGGATGCTTATGTGGGTACGTGGCTGATGGCTGGCATGGTAATGCTGGATACGACTAGCTGGGCATAGGATCCTCTTTAAAGTTGGAGCCTGTCTCAGACCCCCTTGCTAATCATGCCATCGCCCACATCCCACTCCCCCTGCGGCTGTCAGACATTACTGCTTAAATATTTGCATAAAGGATATCAGGAAATTCCACGAAGAAAGCAGCGGCATTTCGGTACGTTTCCCAGTATTTTGTCATAAAATATTTTGATAACAACTAAAAGAGTGGGTGGCTAGACAGAAATTTTTCGTTTCCTTGGGCATATATGCAAATGTTAGGCGCCCACATTGTTGACATAGTTTTTCACAAAGTTGCTTAATAGTAAAACAAGTAGCTACTTAATTTTGATACTATGTGCCACAAAATAGATGCCTAATAAATATACTGACTTTGATAAAATAACAACATTAACTTGCTTTCAAAATGCACACAATAATAGTTTCAAGAATACTTTAAAGTTTTATGAAATAGTTTTGTTTCGATGGTGTTATTTAGTGAATGTGAAGTATTTAAATAAGCGTTTTTGATTTATATTTTGTATGCATTTACTAAGGTAATTTTGACTGAAAAAAATACAAGCAACTGAATTCATCGGCATTTTATTTAAAAATAAAATAAAACTAAATCAAGATGGATCGGATCGTACAGATCAGCAAATTAAGTGTGATCTTAAGATCCTATGTAACAATGTAAAATAATACCCTTGCAAGCCTTCCTCCACAACCTGACCACAAAATCTATAAAACAATTCTGGCGCCTTCTTTATTTATTTAGAAGGCATAACCCCTTTCCACAATGCCTCCCGTTTGGCCAAATGTTTACTTTGCAATGAAACGAACATTGACATATTTTTTGGCGTAAACAACAATATTGTCTTTCGGCACCTACCTCAATTGTCAATAAGCGCTCGTATAAATAAATGCGGCTGCGTTATTTCAGTTGCCAGTTGCCATAAACCCGGCGCTATGGACGGCCCATAACTGGCCTTAATCAACAAAAGGCCAACGTCAAACAATATTTTAATCAGGGCCTTTGGCCATAAATCTCGAACAAACGGATAGAGGGCGAACAAAGTTTCAGAATACAACGGCAAAAAATCAATTGGCCGTAGTAAGTTTTACTTGTTATGCTGGATTTTCCGCAAAAAGGCGGGATCCTGCGTCATCGCTCCCGATGGATGGTTATGCCCGAGAAGTTGTCTTGGACATTTGATTATTATTATTAACACGTGACTGGAACGGGGCTAATTCGAGCGAGAATTTAATTAAAAATTTTACCCTTAATAACTGGCCGAGCGAAAGTCGTCGAGGATGGAAAGTTGAGAGTGGAGAGTGGTGAGGGCAAGGGGAAAAAAATAAAGGACGAAAAAAAAACGTGACATGGAGCGCTGATGGCCTACGAATATCCTGGCATTGTCGGGATGACGTTGCCCGTTTTGGTTACGCCTGTAAATTGTTCGATGGTCGTTTACTTGCTGTTCTCTCTTTTATGAGCTTTTTTAATTGTCCGCCACGCACTCGTCCTTTTATTCGTCCTTATCGTCCTGGCAGTGGATAAGCCTGCACGCAGAATGAGGATTCATTGGCCGCCGCTTGAGGAATGATGCTGCAATTTCATTGATGGCCTTCGCCGGACCATTAATTGTTTAATTTATTGAGCCACAAACGAGTTTTATGAAGCTCATGTCATATAATTTAATCAACTGGATGGTAGTTTCTCCTTGGATCTGGCGGGGTTATCGCGCTGATTTCGGATAGGATCGGATCGATTTGCGATTTGACAGCTAACAAAACTTTATTGTTATTGAAATACCGAAAATACAAGCGAAATTAGAACAAAACTTTTAACTCAATTACAAAGTCATTGAAAGACAAATTGCAGGCAGCAGCAGCAAAGCGAAATGAAAAGAAAACAGGAGGGATGTGAAAGAGAAGGATGGTGGAAAAGTGTGGGAAAAGCCGAAAATGCATTTGCGAGGCCCACCAGCCACCCACTGCTACTTACTCCCCCCCATTTGGTGGTTTTTCAACGAGTTCGGCACATAAAAGGAAGAAATTGCTTTGCTTGTCGCTGGAGAAAGTGAATTTCCTGCATTTCCACCATTTCTGCTTGGCCCTATACCATTATTATTGTTATTTTTGGGGGTTTTAGTGTTTGCAGGTTTTTAATGGTCTCGCAATATTGTGGTTTGTTGTTGCTTGCCCGTTGACATGGCACGGCATTTTGCGCTTAAGGATGCAATCCGACTTGTTGGCGTGGTTCCGCATTATTTAGCCATGCCAGAGTCCTTCGACTTCAGTTTGGAAAGCATGCACCCCCAAAGTATACCCATATTTTGCCCACAATTGGCATGGCTCGAACTGCGATTATGCAAGAAAAGAGCCAACAATATTCGCAGGGAATAATAAAATAAAAATATTCTCTTTACTTATGTTTACTCAAATTTGAATATAAGTTTGCTAATTTTTAATTTTTCAGAAGATCAAGAATTATTATAAGTCTAACATAATCCATAAAATCACAGGTCTCTAAAGTTATATGAATTTTTTAATAATGTTGTGATTAAGAAATGTTGTTTTCTTTCTATAATTATAATGGTTAAACCGTGCTTACAGTTAGTTTAATAAACAGTTTATGAGAACACTAATTTAATGAAAACTTGTAACATTTAGTATACTTTTATCTACCACAATTGTTAACAAATTTGCTGACCTTTCATACAAGAAAATAACTGCTTTGGACTTTATTGATTAAGACTCTTCTAAAAACTATTATAATTATGCATTTGATGTTTTGTGTGAGTATTTTTATCAGTATTTTCAAGAAATTTATATTCATACTTAAACAGTAATTTATGTTTTAAAATTATTCACTTTTAACGGCTTTTTCAGTTTTTTTTTAAATTGAAACTTATTTTACTCAATGCATTCCAATAGGAATATTAAATTATTTGTTTTGACTGTTTCGTTCATTAGGAATTCATATATTTAATGAAAAATTCATAACTTACAAACAATCAGCTTCAGTTTATCCGTGAATTTACATTCAACAAATTAAATATTAATATTACGTATACGTCGCGTGAGTGCAGTTAAATTCAAAGAATTTTTTTTTATTTTCGAATGGCTTATGGCACAATTATAAACGAATTATCTCTTAAAACTGTTGGTCACTTAAATTTTAAACAAATTATATTTTCAAATTATGGTTTGCACAGTCGATTGTTTGAAAGCACTTTTACCAATCGTTTTTGAAATCGTCACTTGTTGGCAATCGCCGCCAACTTTATTCCGCTTTTAACGCCGTTGATACCGTCAACGTGCAACGCCGTACAGGAACTGAAATGTGCGGATATTTTGGCCAAACTGTTGCGACTGTGGTTAAAAGCAAGACGGCCGACGAGTCCCGACAAACAGCCGACTGTTGGCCAAAAAGCCGACGATGGTTGGCCTTCCAGGTGCAGCCGTGCCGCTTCCAGTGAGCAGCTGGCACGAGGAGGGGGTTCCTTATCAGCGGCACCAGCTGCTGTGATAGGGCTAAAACAGCTGATAAGCATTCCATGTGTGGTTAAGTCCTTCAGCGGCCCCAATGGAAATCGCATTAACTTAACTTATTCAAAGTTACCAAATTTGCAGAAAGTCTTTAAACTATTTGAAAATCTATAAATGGTGAGCAATCTTAAAGAGAAAAGACACCTGTATTTGGGAAAAACAGCACAAATACTGGATTGTAGTAGTTTTCTAAGGAAGGAGGAATATTCAATCCTAACAGATTTTCGTTTAATTATTCATAAATAAATAAACTAATATAAAAATCGAAAAAATATTTTTTAATTCTTAAGTAATCTTTTTTGTGAATGCTTTTATATCTAAAGAAATTTTAAAATTAATACTCTTGAAAAAATAAATTTTTAAACAGTTCCTATAATTGTAATAATTATATTTTTGTTTCACACTTTGAGTGGTTTTAACCCATTGCTTTTCCAGTACCACTGTCTGGCATTTCCCCTCCAGCTGGGATCTGCACATGCGCCAATTTCCCCATCCGATGGCCGGTTTTCCCCAGCTGGAAGCCGGGAAAACTATCTGTTGCTCCTCTGCAAGGGACGTGGGCATTAACTGACCACCCTTAGCACTATCCTCACTGTGGGCCGGGAGACAAGCAATTTGCATGCTGCCTTTTTGCACACGTTCGTGTGCATCTTACATACGAAATCACTCTGGATGGACACTTAACCAGCACCTGGTCGCCGGTGCCCATCCAAAGGTCGTGGTCATCATCAAAGGCGACTCCTGGTGCTGGTGAGTTTGCACTCTCGACGCCGTCGGCGTTGGAGGACTCCCAAATGGTCGGGGCTGAGTGGTTTTAATGGACGACCCACCTCTTGGCTGCCTGGCAGTGTGATATTTTTGGGCAAATTGAAGTTGTGTGTTTATGTTTCGGTTCATCGATTGACCGGCCCCTCCTCCTCCGCCCCGCCTCCTAATGCGGCGTTTATTGGCGACAGGAAACAGAAATGCTGCCATGCATAAACCACTCGAATGCATCGATGCATTTCCGCTGCACAATCAAATTACAAATATTTGTTTTTTTATCTCAACGCAAAATTGAAAAAATGAATCTGGGCACGTGCCAAAATCCCTGAATTTGGTGTGCAGCCTCATTCGATTTCAATTTTCAAATATCCAAGCTTTTTATTTACTTTTCCGATTGAATTAGAATTTCTTTGGCCGTTATGCTGATGAATATCAAACCTTTTCCGCAATCGGAATATAAATAGGTGCAATAAAAGGAATGCCTTTTATCGTCTATTTCAGTAAATGCCCCAAAAAGTAGGCAATGTTTTAGTAAACCATTTTAATTTTGGCCATTTTAAGATCTTTTTTCAGAGAAAACGGAAAAAACGGAAATTGAGGGACAATTTTTTTTGTTTAAATAATTTTCTATGTTTCTTACACTTCTTCACCTTAAATCCCCAAATAACATAAAGTTTTCCTTCTACTTTGTATAGTTTCTTAGTTTGAGATTCATTAATTTCATTCAAAAAAAATACATTATTTTATGTTCTTTCCATTCAAAATAACCTTTTTTAAAGATTTGTTTTATCAACAGACACCTTTTTTTTTATTGTTTGGTTGCCTTTTTTAGATTTAAGTTTAAATGCTGACATAAACAGTTCGCTGGCATATTCAACTCTTGTCTTCTCTTTAAGCCTTTGCCCTTAAACGAAACTCAAAAACCTTTTTTGGGTTGACAACCATTCAGTGTAGAAATAAGGACTTTAGATTTTAAAAGCTTCTAAAAATGTTAAAATTGTCATTTTGCCAAAGGGACATACTCAAATGAGTTCATTTAAATATATATTTGTAAGTACAACCGGCAAACTGACCGCAAATGAGAAACGTCTTTTGGTCAGCCACCCTTACTCCAAAAATCAAACCCTTTTCAATGCAAAACGAGAACTAATTTGAATAATTTACGTTCGCCGAATACGGCCAACAGAAACATCAAGAGCAGAAACAACATTAATTAAAATGAATGGCGAAGCGAAACACTCAAAGGCTAAAAAAATAAGGGAAAAGGCACTTGTAGAACAACCTGTTAATGAGATGATGTAGTCGTCGGTTTCAGCAGGCTAATTCCATGCTCTCCTGATTAAAATTACACCAAACTCGACCGTTGGCCGTTTAAAGTGGTTCCCCGCTGCACTCTTAATGCAAAACTAATTTGGGACACGGTACACTGGACAAATACTAGTTTAATCAATTGTTATTTTTCTGACACAAAAAATATTAAATAAAATAAACATAAGTAATTTTAAAAATATAAGTAGCAGACTCTAAAAAATATTGAAAGCATTTTCATAGCAAAACCCCTTAACTTCAATATCCAACATTTTAAAATGAGGATTATAAGAATACGTATACGCAGTGTTGGTTGCATAAAGTCTTGATAATTTGTTGCTAAATGTTTGGTGGGTTAACTATTGTAAGTTGTATGCTATTGATATACATTTGGGTCAGTGTACTCTGGCAAAAAACCGCAGCCGGCGGACTGGCACTGGGATAGATTTAGAATTTTTGCTGGAGAGCTGATGGTGGACACAGTGCTTTAATCAACCGCAAATGCAATGAGCGTGGCAGCTGCTGTTAATTAGCGTTTGTGTGATCCATGTGAAAAAGCTAGCGAAACACGCAAAATTCAAGCGAGTATGATGTAGGAAAAAATGTCACACGTAGTCAGATTGTGTGGTCGATTCGGTGACTGTGGCTTGTGTGGCTACAACTAAACCAAAATATGAACAAGCGTTCGTTAAAATGCAAAAATATAAAAATACAAAGTATGGCATTGTCAGTCTATCTAGAATATTTAGAGAAAATCAAGCATTAATAATTACATTAATGAGATGTCCAATTAACCTTGCTTATTTAAATTTGCAGATAAGCAAATCCTCTTCCATTCATGATGAATGATTTGAGTAATTAATAAAACTACCAATTAATAAATATAATTATCGCTTAAGAAGCTCTTCAAATAACTCTTTATTGTACAACAAAATATTTAATAATTCTTTTATTACAGTTAAATGAAGGCTAAAATAAAATAATCACCTTTCACAAAATTAAAAATAAATTATTAAACTAAATTTGTGAAAATAATGCATTCTACTTTTTTCTCAGTTTAAAGACTCAGAAATAATATAAATCGATTTTGTAGTTTAAGCTAACATTTTCCTAACTGCCTAACCAAGTCAAGCAATTAAATAATAATTTATGGTGAACGAATTCTCTGCGGTCAGCTCTTTAAGGCACAAATGAATGAAGATATATGTATACCAGAGCAGAGGGAATTTGTATGTTGTGGAGATGTCCATTGAGCTACATATACACGGCTGACCCTAAGCTAAATTAAATTTTGATATGGGTCTATTTATCTTGGCAGTCACATGAGACACTCTCGGCAGATGGCTGGCAAAACAAAAAAAAAACTTTTGTGACTCCTGTCCGTAATGCAAATGCATGTGAGCCGAGTCGAGCAATGTCGGGGTTCTTAGCCACCTATAAAATGGATTTGTTGACACTCCCACAAAAAACCACACATTCACGTTCAGAACTTTTTAAATATGCATGAGCACCTTTTTTACGTTAGTCCGGCCATACCCGGCGTATATTTGATAACAGATATCTCCTTTCAACGCCACAGAAAACAATGCCAAGAGCAAGATAAATGGGGTCAGTAAGTATAGACTCTACGCCGCAGACTCTGACCCAAAACACTTCAGCCTTTGAATTTTTTTCAAATAATAAACGAGAACGAAAGCTAGCTTCGGCTAGCTGATGTTTCAATAAAGGATTTAAAAAATTCTAGCCGATCGTTCCTATGGCAGCTAAAGGATATAGTCACAATTTTTTAAAACAGAATACATATAAAAAGACGAAAAGTTTTAAGTCTCTAATTTTACACTGAGCTTGCAAACAGTATCAAGAATATATTTACTTTATAAGGTCGCAAATGTGTATTTTACAAGCCTATGAACAAAATTAAAATACCCTCTACAAGGGTATAAAATAATTTATTGCGGCTTTTTGTCAAAAACAAGACAGCTTTTCCAACAAGCTAAATCCTCGAAGTACGACTGATTGAATCTAACCAACTTCTGCATCTAATTATACCTGTTTACCTTCGCAATGAGCTATGTCTACTAACTTAAGACAGTTATTAACAATTTCAAACAGGATGTTAAATTGGGAATTGAATACATCTGTACATTTAGTAGAATCACCCTGCTGTCTTGTCAGCTTATGTTAAAAGTAAATTGAAAGAGTTGCTGACCATCAATGCTGGTTAAACACCTGTGGGTCATCCTTTAAAAACCCCTCTGAGACAGTACAAATAGGGAAAGTACACCGAAAACAAATCAAATTGTTTTTGGAGTATAGGGATCGGCTTAAAATTTTTAAACTTTTCATAAGTACTTTTTAAGTGGGAAGAATTATGAAGATAGTAATGGTTTCTTTTCGAGAAAGGAAAACATTTAAAATTGTTTGTCAGTTATGAGTTTTTTTACCAATATTAAAATTCAGTTCAGTATTGTCTGATTTTAAAGAAGGTGCCCCTTGTTTCCAACAATAATTTTTCTGTATGCATTCGTTGGCACACAGTACTCGTTTGTTTGTGCTTGCTGTTGACATGCCTACCCGGGTGTTGTCGCCTCCTGTCGTCAAACAAATTGAAATTGAACGTGAAAAGGAGCAACTGGTTGGGCACCCAGCTAGCCAGGCACTGATATATGTCCTCCCTTTGGGATAACCTTTCTGCCACCCAATTCGTCAATCAGCAATTTCTTGGAACTGCTGCAAAAATTCAAAGGAACACTACAGGTATCCCTCTGATTGGCATGCACGAACTGCACTTTGCGGTGGGCGTGGAGTCCAGCTGCTGATTTCAGCCCGCCTACACCTGAACGAGACCAGAGAAATGCCAATACAAAAACTCGGAACAAAAATGTGAATGAACAACTCCCAAAAACCTATTTGAGGTTATTTGATGGTTAAAAACGTTCTTTGCATATTATAAAAACTTACTTAGAAAATCCTGATCCTGTTAAAATATTTTATTTGTTTCAGTAATGATTCAAAAGTTAACGAACTTCTTTAATATGTTATGCAATTTAAATTAAATACACAAGCCAATTATCTTAAGAGTTTATTAAATAAAAAAAAATTTATTGAAATAGTTTTCTAAAAAAAAACAAAAACTTGTTTTTAATACTATACATATTAAAATTACATCAAGCGTTATAGTCAATCGATCTAATTAAAAAATATTATCAAATATTTATGGTTATATCAAGACCAACATTTTTATGAACGAAACATATAAAAAGTTATTTTCACGTACTTTTGTTCTGAGTGTATATTTATCCAAACTCGGAATCGAGTGTGGCGCGTGCTATGATCAAAGGCTTGACACTGCTGTAATGAATGTCAGATGGTGTTTTGTTAATTTTAAATGCTGCTCCCAGCCACGAGTCGAGATGCAGGCACAGGCACACCTGCCAGAAAAGTTTCTGTTGATTTAATTTTCTTTTTTAGAATTTATGTTTGTGTTCCTGCTGAGTGAGTTTTTTGTGTGTGCTTCTATAAAAATTGCCATACAAAGCAGACGTGCAAAATGTTTAGAAAGTTGCATGCAGTGTTGAGTTGTCTACTTGTTTGTTCTTTCCAGCGTTGTTACGCCTGTTTGCCTTTTCGCTTTTGAAGTCTCCAATGTCGTCCACATCACGGCGAACAAATTGCGAAAGAAAATGGAAATTAAATGAACTTGAAATTCAGAGGATATGTACATAAATAGGTGTTTTATTTGTTTGTTAAGCTATACAAAAATAATAAAAATATATTCTATTTGTTTCACAAAGCTCTTAGCTTAACTTAGCTCTTTATAAACTGGAACAGAATAAAAATTCCCTTAAGGTTAGTTTTGGCCAAAAATAGCAAGAAAACAATTTATATTTTTTAACAAAACAACACTTTTATATTTTTCTTTTCTCTAATGAAAACGTAAATAATATAATTTAACTCCCCTACTGGGATTTACCATTACGAAGAAATTATTAACTCCGTATAACCATGAGGACACTAACGCTGTCTATAGCGTTTTGAATACTATATTTGGTGCCTTAAAGAAATAATAAGAAAAAAGCATTTAGTAAAATCTGCCATTCAATTATTACAGTATATCTTACCCTTATCTATTTCAATCATGTCGCCAACACGTAGCACAGCTTCCGTTTCCTCCTCTTCGCCCGGGACCAAGGTCTGCACAGCAAACTCACCAAATTGCACAACGAATTTCTAAAAAATGAAGAAGTTGACAAACTAAAAACTAATATTTCTTTTAATACTACTTACCAAAGGGTGAACTTTGGCACGTTTCTTGTTGCGAGTTTGGTGGGGCTGGAATCGCATATACCCCAGCGATGCTTTATCCTTCGTATTATAGAAAGCGTAGTCGATGTTATCCACTTTGGTGAAAATTAAGTCATTCGCAGTAGCTGTGAAGATAAATTAGAAACATTAGTATAAATAATGTGGTTATTATAAGGTTACATCTAGAATAAAATTATAATAATAAATAGCTTTCAACTTACAGACACTTGCGTTCTCTTCTGGCATGCTGCCAGCGGGTTGAGCATCGGCGACGCCCCGCAACCAGTGCATCAGTTGAATTGAGGCTTCCTCCTGTTCGTCTCTGGCGGGAGTTACAGAAGATACGATGGGCATCTCCTGTTCATTTCTGATAGGAGATATCATTGATGCAATTGGCTCTGGCTCCGGCTCTGGCTCTGGCTCGGGCTCACGCTCGGACTCTGTTTCAGTTTGTACGACTTCCACTTGCTTCTTTTTCCGCCCTCTTTTCTTATGCACCTTTTCAACCACTGCTTGCACCGGCGTATCTTCCCAAGTCAGTGGGCTTATTCCCAGTGATTCGGAAGTCGGCATTGCCTCCGGTCCTGTTTCGGGGTTTCGTGGCGTACTGCTGCATAATGGTCCCCGATTCAGCGATGGTTCCAGGCTAACAGTTGGTTCTTGGTTCACCATTGAGTCCTGCCGCACAGTTGGCTTTGACTTTGTGGTTTTCTTCGCACTTCCCTTTTTTATTTTGGATATATGACCAAAAGGGTTCACAAAGTCACTCATAAAACTAAATGAACGAGGATCCATGGTGTGGCAAAAAGTCATCTGGATTGGCACTTGGCCTCGTTTTGAACGCCGAATGCCGGCTGAGTAACAGAAAACAAAAATAGGTTTAATGGAAGGTTAAAACGTTATTTCAAAATATACTCACAGGTATTGTGGTCGCCTTCATCCATTACCACCGGAATCGTGCGAAGCCTTAACTTGTCTACTTCTGTCTTCTTTGCTTTTTTTGCACGTGGTGCCGGTGCCGTTGGTTTCTTAAACACCAAATCACCGTTTGATAAGTTTTTGGGCTGCGACTTTGACTCTTGTTGGCTGCGCTGCAGAGCTTCCATAGCCGCTCGACTTGTGCTCGGCACTTCGTCCGCCAAAGAAGCCTCCATTGCAGATTGATTCGCGTTCGGCACTACATCCGCCGAAGAAGCTTCCATTGCAGATTGATTCGCGCTCGGCACTACATCCGCCAAGGAAGCCTCCATTGCAGATCGATTCGTGCTAGGCATATCACGTTCCTTCGCGATGAGCGGGGGCGTGGGAGTGTTTACACGGAGAGACTCCATGTGCTCCGATTTAGAGTAATTACTGAGAGTGGCAGTAATCTCTTCGTCGGCTGCCGTACATCTGTGACCATTTGAAGGATTCTTGGAGCTAGATAATCGATCAGAGGTTTCATTATACTCCAATGGTGGTGGCACTACTTTTTCCTTTGGCTTGGAGCGCTTAGATTTCTTGCCCTTAAATTGCGACTTTGTTTGCTTAATGGGACTATCGTCTTCATTGTTCTCTAGTGGTTCAGTATACTCAAGCGGTGGCGTATCTTCTTTCGTCTGTTGTCCTGGTAGATTTGACTGCTCAGATTCGTTGCCCCTACACTGAGAGCTCCTTTGTTTCTTTTCATTGAAAATTCGTTCCTCATTTTCGTTGTACTCTGGTGGTTCAATATATTCGACTGGAGGTGGAACCACTTCGTTATCCCTAGTCTTTCTTCCAGTCGAATTTGATTTTAAAGATGGTTTGGTTCTGTTATGCGACATTGTTATTTGCTCATCTTCTTCACTTTGTACCTCGTGTCTTTCGAACTCTTGTGGAGGTGGAACCACTTCGTTGTCCCTAGTCTTTCTTCTAGTCGAATTGGTTTTTAAAGATGGTTTGGTTCTGTTATGCGACCTTGTTATTTGCTCATCATCTTCACTTTGTACCTCGTGTCTTTCGAACTCTTGTGGAGGTGGAACCACTTCGTTGTCCCTAGTTTTTCTTCTAGTCGAATTGGATTGTAAAGATGGTTTGGTTCTGTTATGCGACCTTGTTATTTGCTCATCTTCTTCACTTTGTACCTCGTGTCTTTTGAACTCTTGTGGAGGTGGAACAAGGTCCTCTTTATTGCTCTTTCGTCCATTTGTACTTCTGACCCGTGTATTTGCAACATACTCCGGCGGTGGGGGAGCTATCTCGATAGTATCACTATTCGGTTCATCGTGGAAATCTGGAGGCGCCGACATCACGACATCATCAAAATCGAATTTTCTGCTGCGACGCAGAGTTCGCAGCGATTGAGAATAGCGCAAGGAAACGGGAGGTGGCGGAACAATTTGAATACTTCTGCTTAGTCTCGGCAGCTTTACGGGGGATGACGAATCGTAATCCTCGACATTGGAATCCCCCTTTGTGTAGAGGCTGCGTTTACCTTCTCTTGATAGTTTTCGCCGAATCTCCATTGTATTCGAGAGACCTAAATAGTTTTTTAGCTCTGTTGTCTGCAAAACGGAAACAAGGATCTATTAGAAACTTCCATAAACATTATTTAAATAGTAATATTAGTACCCGTATGTAGATTATTATCAATTTTCTCATATTGAGAGCAAATATATATTTAATTCCTACGATTACTCACCATGGGAAGCCCCCGTCGCATAGAGCGTGATCGACCATTTGGCCTTTCTTTGCTTTTACCTCTACTGCGTGTCTTCCGCGAAGTCGGCAAGTAGTCGGAATCATCGGAGGATGGTTTACCAGATAAACTGTCGGAATCATCAGAGGGTGGTTTACCAGGTAAACCGTCGGCCTCGTCCATAAGATTTCTTCGCTCCAACTCCCGCTGGATTTTTTTTTCTAGGATAAGTTTCTCCTCCGAGCAGCGCTTCCGGTGTCCATCCAAAGGAAATACCTCGTTCAACGAGTTGCGCTTGCGCAGATCCAATATCTCGTAGTTGCTCATGCGGGTCAGCTCGGTGGCGAACTGCTCGCCATTGATGGGGGCACTGGGTGCCTTATTAAGCGGTACCTTTGTCATTCGGGACTTCGACTTCTTGGCATTGGCACTGACCGACCGGTGGAGGTTGAGAAGGCGCATGGAACTTTCCTGTAGCTCGGCATTAACACGATTTCGATTTTTGCTGCGCAAGCGACGCTGGCGTGTTGTGTTGCCGCCGGGCGGAGCTAGATTCAGAGCCACCGTGCTGGGCTGCTCGTCGCTTTCGTCGTCTGTCATTATGGCGTCTACATTTTCTACGACGCGTGGCGTTAATGCGTTAGGCTTAGGAGAAGCAACTGTGGAACGATTTGCAAAAGATGCAACCCTTATTGAAGATGTCGGGGCAACTGGCGATGCTGGGGCAACTGACGGTGCTGGAGCAACTGGCGATGCCTGGGCAACTGGCGATGCCTGGGCAACTGGCGATGCTGGAACAGATTCAACCTGGAAGGAATTCTTCCTTGCACTCAGATTCGGATTGGTTGTGTTTATCACAACAATTGGACCGCTGGCGTTTCGCGACAATGTCTGCACCAGCTCTTCCAGACCCTGTGGCTGTGTTTCCGGCACGACAAAATCCGGCTGTGGCTGTGATTGCCAGGCTGGCTCGTAACTGGGTCGTTGCGGCGTGTCAGGCACCACAATCTGTTGGTTGATTTGATTACCCTTAATCACTGGTAGTTTGACTGGTGTGTAACTGCGAAGCGAAGGCGACAGCAGCAGCTGACCCGGCGATGGACCCTTTTGCATGGTGTAGGTACGTCGTAAAGCTACAGATGGTGAGGGCGGTGTTTGCGGACGTGAAGGTCCCCGTCCAGTGTAGTCGAGCTGCAAGACATTCCTGTGAAAGGAAGACTGCTTTTCTTTGCATATTTCAGCAATTTCAGCGGCAAGATGAGAAGTCCTGGAAGTGGACTCCACCTCAGGCATGGACGCTTCCTCTGTTGGTTTCGGTACGGTTTTCTCTGCTGGATTCTCTGATGGTATCTCCGCCTGTTTCTCTGCTGGTTCCCCAGCATTCCCTTTTAACCGACTCTGCTGCTTTTTCATTTGGTTTCTCTGTGCAGGGTGTGCTGCTTATTTCCGGCATCTAAAAGATCACATCAATTAACATTAGGTTTATATATTTCTTGAGATGTGTACAAACTTACAAAGTTTACGGGACTGGAGAAGCTGCGGGTTACGTTAATAGCATCTTCAAATTCCGGGAGCAATTGGCGCCCACAGCTTCGGGATCGCCGGCGAATGGCATGTCGGCGTAGTTTGTCGGAGCCCGGAACATTTCCACTCCGCCGCAGGGAACGCCGATGGTTTGGCGACAAAGGGGGCGATCCTACCGGTGGCTGATTCTCATTGGGGGCCTGGTCCACAGGGGGCTTATTGGCTTGTCCGGAGGCGGAACTGGACGGACTGGTCAACTCGCGTAAAGGCTGTACTTCTGGCGCTTTTGGTTTGGACTTCTTGGTCAGCGGCACCTCAAAGTCTAGTTCAAAGTCGACTTTGAAATTTCCAAATAGGTTGTTATTTTGCGACGGCTTGTTCTCTGCCAACTTGCGCATCAGAAAGGCGGCCATTCGCTCCTTATCCTTCACTGGTTGGCTGAGGATGTCGTCCAGTTCCATAGTGTCATCAATCTGCTGGGCCTTCGACCTGAGCAAAAAGTGTACGGATAACTACGCATTAGTATGATTTCGCATAAAAAACCACGATCGCGATCTTACATCTTTGAACCCGTTAATGTTTCTGACGGTCGTTACATAAGCTACTACAATTAAACACAACTTATTTCGCTTAGTTTCCACAAAATTCTTAATTACACAAAAGACGCGACGCTATTGTACTGAGGTTGCCAGAAACCTTTGAAGGCGCGCCTAAATACGGTGTTGCCAGACAGGTGGACAGGCAGGGATGTCAACCATTCGAAATGTAGCAGAAAATAGCTTACATTTAAATATTCTGCCACTTGGTAATAGTTTTGGAAATCTCATGTTCGTTTTTATTAAAAATTAATTAATAAGCAATTTCATTCGAAAACAATTTTTTAAATTATTAAATTATTATATGTTAGGGCAATAAAATATTCATTTAGTGGTATAAAATCGTTTATCAAAGAGGATGGATTCCGAATATACATTTTTTATAGATTTAAAGCCAATTTTAATTCATTGCTATAGTGGATCAACTAATTTCTAAGGGACTTATATCAAAATACAACAAAGCTCAACTTACTGGAATTGGTTTCTTAGACAAATTTATTTAGAAACGTGCGGCTACAAACTATAATATACCATATAGGTCAAATGTAGAATTTTTCGGCAAACCTTTACATATGGAATGTCGACAGAGATGAGTTTTTTTTAGTTTTTTAAATTCTCATATTTTTTCAAGGTGTTTTAGTTCTCGTAGACGAATTTTCAGCTTTTGCAAAAGCGAGCTCTTATGTAAATCGTTTCAACAACTTTTTAAGCGGCCTTATCGTACCGTATTGTTGTACCTAATAAAATAGGCATCCCATAAAACTAACAATTTTTCGATCATACGGCAGCACTGCGTATATACCAGATGTCCTAGATAAAAATAAAGACTGCTCCTAATTTTTTAGTTCTGTTAGCTGGTCACACTATAGCCGGCAATTTGGAGTTTGTTGACAAAAATGTTGGAAGCTGTTTTAACGGATTTACCAGATATTAAAGCTCCCGAATTGAGTTTTGAAACGTTGAAGCTAGTTCTGAAGCGCTTGCGTCCACTGCAACGATACAGTTTCTGTGTGGAGGCTTGCGAGGAAGGCGATGAGACGAAGGTGGGAAATAGTCCTATTGTGATCCAAATTGAAACTTATTTTTTTGTGAATATAGCTGAGGTCAGGATTCCTGAAGATGCTGAAGGGCAATCTGAGTTTGGAAGAGGTAGTGGCCCTTTACTCGGCATCCGTGGTTCTGTTCCTCCAGTCGGGGAACGAAAGGCCATGCAACCAGCGATTGGAGCTGCTAAACGCGACCTTCGGTTATTCAGACACCCTGAAGCCCACGATGATCCACTATGCCACCGGGGAAATGCTCAGTAGCTTAAGGCTGGCCTGCAGCGACGAGGAACACTGTTTTGTTTACATACTGGAGGCGATCCCACACATCTTGGTGGCTAGCGACACCGGCAAAATGATCTCGCTTGGACTGCTTCGCGCGTTAATAGCCACTTTATCTGGCTGCCAAATAATCCTGCACATCTATCGCAGCGTTAGTCGACTAGTTTCAGCTAAAGCTCTGCTAATTGATGGTTATTTCAGGTGTGGGAGACCTGGGAAATGCTAAATCAAATCAGCCAGAACACTATCCTGCTGGACTGGTCGCTGCGCAGGACCTACGTCTTTCTGAAAGCCTTCGCCCTGCTCACCGCCACGGCCGCCTTCAACTCTTGTAATGCGGAGCTCAAGCAGGCTGGATACAGGGGCTTCGAACTTCCAGACAAAGCATCAGAAATTGCCGAGTGGTTCAAGACTCTGCGAAATCGCCTCGAGGAAAAGCACAAGGACCTGAACTGTAAGGAGGGAATCATGGTAAGATTGCATATGAGTGAATACCCAAAGAGCTGTCAACTATTCCTATTCCTATTACATTATCTCAATACTATGTGTGGACATTTATTTAATCTCGCATGTAAATGATCTTCTTTTTCTTCAGCTAGTGCGCTTTATGGACCACAACATTTTGGCCTATTTGACAGAAACGGGTAACGAATCCACCTCCGAAGTGGGAAACGAGGCAGTTTCAGAGGCGGGCAATGATACCACAGCATAAATTTTAAGAAATATTATTTTTTAAAGTGTTATATAGATATTCGAATGTTTCAGTTAGCACATAAAGCCTAAACCAGAAGTTTAGCGAACTCATTTGAACTTCTTGCCGCCCTTCCTCGCCGCAGAAGCATCCACGGTGGCGACCTGCACGGAGTAGTACTTAGTGGATATCCTGTTCAGGAAGTAGAGTCCCACCAAGGAGAAGAGTACGCTAGTAGTGGCGCAGACACGATGCACTATTCCCGCAGCGGCCACTGTGAGTGAGAGGCAGAAGAGGATCTCCGGCAGCAGCTTGGCCTGGAAGTCCTGCCCAAAGATGACCATCTCCGTGTTGGAGACGCACGTAAGACTCAAGATGAACAGCCAGGAGAAGAGGTATCCGCCCAATAAGACCTTTATCTGCGAATCGTTGAACCAGTCGGCGCAAAACCGCAGTGTGGCGAAGAGGACCAGGCTCAGGAGGCCTGAGATGATGGAGGACACCAGGGTGCTTTTGCTACTCATCGATGCGGCTGCAATGGTTCGGGTTTTAATCGCTGTTGGCCACAATATCCATGATTTTGCTTACACATATTATTTTCTTTTACCAACCGGCGTCTTTGTTGTACGTGTAAAACTTAAGCCATTCACAAGTCATCGCACAGCCGGTTAATGTTAAGGGTTGTCAGCAGTTAACAAAAATGTAAATTGCTAAAATATTTTTAGAATCTTATAAAGATTATTTTAAGTTTTGTTTTAATATCCGAAAACATATTCCTTCTATTTCAATATATAAAGTTTTAATGCATTTGTGTTGTATTTTCTAAAAAGAAATATCGATACTAAAAACTGAACGATCGAAACAAAAAGCCAATGTGGCAACTCTGGGGCTTTCGTGGTGAATGGCCAGCGAAGTAATAACATTGCATTTAATCACTATTTTAATAAATTGTAAATAAAAGGCTCATTCAACATGTCCTCCCTGCTCCAACTGGCGACCAGGACGCTTCGGAGTTCTATGATACAAGTGCGCAGCGTGACCACAACTACTCCCAGACAAATTAAAGAAAGTAAGTTCCACTGACCACTGTGGGGTGTTTCATAACCCCTCAAAAAGGAGAATATTATAATAAATAATTAATTAAAAAATTCTTTGCAGTTCAGGAAAAGCAGGAAAACAATGTGCGGATCTTCGAAGGCGTTAATGTGGAGTCACCGCGTGCCAATTTAATGCTTAAATCCGCTTGCCAGAGCACTTTTTGCCCGGAGTGTACATTGGGCCTGGACATTAAGCACACGGATGTTTTAATCCTGTCGCAGTACGTCCGTTCCGATGGCTGCATGTTGCCTAGAAGGATCACCGGACTGTGTCACCGGCAGCAGAAGAAGATGGGGACCTTGGTGACCATGGCCCAAAAGGCGGGACTGATGCCCAATTTGGCGCCCACGTGGAGCAAAAAGGATCCCAAGAAGCGCTTCGGCTGGCGCAAGTTCAACAAGTACTTCCTGGAGTCCACGATTAAATACTAGTGTAAAATGGCAATAAATATGTTGATATAGTTAATCCGTCATCTGATTTTGATTATGATTGGCTTCAAGTTAAATATTTGGGTAATAAATTAATTTTCTTGAACCCAGTGCGATAAGAAAATACTGTTACAATACAAATTTTATCAATACAAACTAATTAAAAGGAATACCATTTTTCACAAAGCCCAGTTTGGTCACATTTTCTTGGCGTCGCCCGCTTAAAATAGCATTATTTTTTGAATGAGTTTTTTAAGCAACAGCAGCACGGTTCACGTGGAAGTTCGCCTTCGATGTACCAACATGTGAGTATCAAAATCACCTGTCATCCGATTTACATTTTAATTAAGTGATCACCTATTTTAGACGCCTTTCAACAATACGCGCCGGTTTGGAGACGGCTTTGCAACAATATTTTCAGTCGGCTATAAGTCTGCCAAGGAATGTGTCCTTCGTGCCCGAATTGCCATTTGATCAGGCCCAGTTGGTGGAAACCGTGCTCCTGGAGCGCGACAATGGCGACGGGCGGGCTTTGCAGTCCACTGGGACCAAGTTCCGTTTTCATTTCTATGAACCAAAGCGGGCGGAGCCGCACTGCAGTTCCGGAATCTTTGATGAAGGCGGAAGTGGCGATACAGATGGCACCGTTGGCGTAATGGCCGCCGATCATGTCCTCCTGCCCGCCAGCCAATTTGTGGGCCTGTGGGAGAACCTCATCTACGAGAGCGGATTGAAGGAGAAGGTGAGAGGCCCACTTTACCATGTTTATATGGTTTTGCAATTCTTGTATTAAACCTTTCTTTCAGCTCCTGAAGTTTGCTCTGTCGGCGCTGACTTTCTCACAGCACCGCGTGAACACCAATGTGATTGCATGCAACCGGCTGCTGCTTCTCCATGGACCGCCTGGCACTGGAAAGACGAGCCTCTGCCGGGCCCTGGCTCAGAAGCTGGCCATCCGGACCCAGGGAAGCTATGCTTACACCCACCTAGTGGAGATTAACAGCCACAGTCTGTTCTCGAAGTGGTTCTCGGAGAGCGGTAAGCTGGTGGCACGTCTGTTTGCAAAGATCGGGGAGCTGGTAGCGGACCCCAAAAATCTCGTCTGTGTCCTTATTGACGAAGTGGAGTCGCTGGCCTACGCCAGGAACGCTATGTCTAGCAGTGAACCCAGGGATGCCATGCGTGTGGTAAACGCAGTGCTAACCCAGTTGGATGACATCAAGACCTGTTCCAACGTACTTATCCTGGCCACCTCCAACCTGGCGCAAAGCATTGATTTGGCTTTCCTAGACCGCGCCGACATTCGTCAGTACATTGGGTATCCGGACATGACTGCTATTCGAGCCATTTACAAAACAATGCTGGCTGAGCTCATGTCGGTGGGAGTAGTGCAGCGTGAGGCTTTGGAGGCGGAGGACGCCGAGGAGGGCCTACTGACCCAATTGGCTGAGCAAAGCGTCGGGCTAAGTGGCCGCAGGCTTCGAAAGCTGCCTCTTTTAGCTCATGCTCAGTACACCAGCAGCGATCTCTTCGAGCTAGATCAGAAGATCAGCCTGTCGGACTTCCTGGACGCCATGATGATGGCCTTGGAGAAGCATTTGGGCGAGCAGCGCCTGCTGAAACTGGAGTCCTTGGAGGAACTCTAAGCTAACAGCAAAGAAGACATGAAAAAAAAGAATTTTTTATACCTACACTCTATGTCCGTCAAATCCGATACTTTGTAAACTTCAATTTGCTGCTATGAAAAACAATCCGAGGCAGATGCACGGGACCAATCTCAATTCTGTTTACTGCTTCGTTTCATTTGCACACGTCACAGAGATTTTTGCATTTCTTTATCTGGCTTTTGATGTGAAAATCAAGCGTGAAATCTTGTTATTTGCTTGCAAGCTCCTACATCGACTGCCCTTTCCGCCCTCCACATCGATATGCAGACATCGGACCCTACGCAATCTCAGCACTTTTGCCTTGCCTTGTCTGTCCTTCACTTTCGAGTGCAGGAGTACTCTGAAGTCCGGCACACATCCAAGCAATCGGATGCTGGTGGCTCTGCTGCAAAAGGATGGGGTCCGTTTGGTGGCCAGGGACATCAAGTTATTGCACGAGAAAGTGACGACTAATCAAATTTTTTGACGATTTGATTCTGTTTTGATGCTGCCTGTTGATCCGTATCATCCGTTTGGAAACCACTCAGACTTGGTCAATGTAGCATTAGCTTAGTAGGATAATATGTGGATCTAAACGGTGGAGTGTGAATTTTGCCATTTAGTCTTTGCATTGAACCTGTTATTCGGTTTGAATAGGGTTTCAAAATCGTAATTAGTGAAAATGGGTAGAGGAAACGACTTTCTGCAATGTTTTTAACTCTACTATTCTACCTCTACTTTTACTTATGTGTGCATTAATTAGTATTAATTTGTTTAAAAGTATGAAACAGGTAGAAGGAAACGTTCACGTTTTCAAGCGTGAAAGTTAGTATAAGGCTTAATGCTTAAAGCAGACACATAACTAGGTTCAATGTGAACGTAAATATTATTTTTGGGTGGCCTTAATTAAATCAGGACAAATACCCATCATGACTCGTTCATTGGATTTACTAAAAGAGGAAGAGGCCAGAAGGACAGGTGGTGGTAATAAACCGAAAGACAGTAAAAATAGACAAGTAGGGGGGCCATCGAATTATGTGAACGGATAGCTGCAAGGCTAATAAAATGTAGATGTGGCCCCGAAAGGGGGAGTGCGATAAAATTCCTGTTGATGAAAATGTGATGCTGTGCTCATGTGTGATTCCACCCATTGTTCTCCTGCCGGGACATATAAAATATACGGGATTTATTAGCCACACGGTAGCGAAATCGTATCAGCATCTAAAATTGGCAACATCAAAATGAAACCTAAAAGCGTTATATACTATTTTATATAGTTTTCTGCATAGATATACTATATACTGCATATATTTATATATCTGATATTTGAGGTACCTTTGTTTGTTCTTAAAGCTAGTTTAGTCTAAAATGTTGTACACAATTTTTAAACGTATCCGCAAGGCGAGAAGAGTTTCCAACTCATCTGGCATTCGGCTGTTGATTTTTACATTTTATGGTAGAACGCGTTATTTGTCTGTTGCAGTCGTGTGTAACAACTATTATTTATTGTTTAACGGTTTTATTTCAGCAGCAACGAATACGAATCCAGCTATAGAAAGTCTTTGTATGGGGCATCCCGTGAATTTTGCATGGCAATACTGCCTTGGTCGATTGCTGGTTGTGTCTGTGCAAACAATTGAAACCGTGTACATTGTGCAAAGAGGTAAACAAATATCCAAATTCATTCTCATTCCAACGACATGCTAAATATCAGCAGGTAATAAATTTAAAAAAATTAAGAATGTAATAAGATAATAATAATTTAAACAAAGTATGTGGTGGATGATAGGGAACTATTTAAAATTGTTTGCATTAATCCTTAACAAAGGAATTTACGTTCAATTATTAAACCTGTCATGTCCCCTTCATTAAAGGGAATCGTGTTGATTCCGTTGGCGTAAATTGCTTTCAAAAATATATAATGTTTTTCGTTGGCTTGCAGTTTCCTAAAATTCAACTCCATGTAGCATCCTTTTGGATCCCGAGCCCCCTGATGTTCCTCCCAGCAAAATCATGCAGAAGCATGGAAAATTGAACCATTGATGGTTACGTTTATTTATGTTTTCCTTGCTCTGTATGTGTGTGGGAAGCCTGTAAGCAGCATTTTGCAATTGCATTTCAGCAATATGGAAAATTTTTCCCCACTACGAATTCCCATTGTTATCCAATGCGGCTGCTGCCGATATTGTTGCTGCTCCTGTTTTTGTTGCTTGGGAGCAATTGTTTCTTGTTTATTGTTTGGATTTGTAAGCTTACCGTTTTGCGGCGTTAAGAAATTTAAATTTCCATCTCAATACATGCTTTAAAATTGGCCTAACGACTATCTGAAATAGGCAAACTAAAATCAAAGGTATTTGCTTATTTACATTTACCCAAATATCCAGCTTACAATAGGATTGAGAATTTGTGATTGGTCCAAGTCTGGATTAATATTTCATTGGGGTATAAATTGCTGTTTGTAAGGCAATTAATTTTTGGCAAACCTATTTGTAAGTGAATGAATAGCTGTTAAATATTTGGTCCTTTGCCAACAAGCAAATACGCATTTTATTAACCTTTTCGAGCTTGTAATTAATTAATTATTTTGAGGATAAAATATATTTTAAAATAAATATATTTTAAAATAAATATATTTTGGGCACATCTAAAGTATAGTTCTCTCCTTTTTTCAATTCTTTGTGTAAGGATTTTGCAAGATTATTCTAAGTTCTCTCACCGTCATCTGACCATTTAACAAAATCCCCTAATGCGAAAACGGAAGAAGTAAAGCACTCAAGCTCAAATAATATAATAATAGAATCCCTAAACATACCAAACTTAATCCGATTCCAAAGTGGCATACCTCTAAAGACTTGTGATTGGATTCTCTAAAAAACTGCATTCAAAATTTTCAATTTAACGTTGATCAAATTTTTGACCCATTTTCATGTTAGTTATTTCTAATTTTCCGATGTCTTGTAATACAGTGACTCAAAATTGGACTTCGAGAGTCCATAACTCTGCCAAACTTAATCCGATTTCAAAGTGGCATACCTCTAAAGACTTGTGATTGGATTCTCTAAAAATCTGCATTCAAAATTTTCAATTTAACGTTGATCAAATTTTTGACCCATTTTCATGTTAGTTAATTCTAATTTTCCGATGTCTTGTAAAAGAGTGACTCAACATTGGACTTCTAGAGTCCATAACTTTACCAAACTTAATCTGATTCCAAAGTGGCATACCTCTAAAGAATGGTGATTCAATTCTCTAAAAATATGCATTCAAAATTTTCAATTTAACGTTGATCAAATTTTTGACCCATTTTCATGTTAGTTAATTCTAATTTTCCGATGTCTTGTAATACAGTGACTCAAAATTGGACTTCGAGAGTCCATAACTCTGCCAAACTTAATCCGATTTCAAAGTGGCATACCTCTAAAGACTTGTGATTGGATTCTCTAAAAATCTGCATTCAAAATATTCATTTTAACGTTGATCAAATTTTTGACTCATTTTCATGTTAGGTTTTTCTAATTTTCCGATGTCTTGTAATACAGTGACTCAAAATTGGACTTCGAGAGTCCATAACTCTGCCAAACTTAATCCGATTCCAAAGTGGCATACCTCTAAAGACTTGTGATTCAATTCTCTAAAAATCTGCATTCAAAATTTTCTATTTAACGTTGATCAAATTTTTGACCCATTTTCATGTTAGTTATTTCTAATTTTCCGATGTCTTGTAATACAGTGACTCAAAATTGGACTTCGAGAGTCCATAACTCTGCCAAACTTAATCCGATTTCAAAGTGGCATACCTCTAAAGACTTGTGATTTGATTCTCTAAAAATCTGCATTCCAAATATTCATTTTAACGTTGATCAAATTTTTGACCCATTTTCATGTTAGTTATTTCTAATTTTCCGATGTCTTGTAATACAGTGACTCAAAATTGGACTTCGAGAGTCCATAACTCTGCCAAACTTAATCCGATTTCAAAGTGGCATACCTCTAAAGACTTGTGATTGGATTCTCTAAAAATCTGCATTAAAAATTTTCAATTTAACGTTGATCAAATTTTTGACCCATTTTCATGTTAGTTAAGGATCAAAAAAGTTTTAGAAATTTTTAAAAATATAGTAGTCAATACAAAAATTTAAAAAAAGTTAGGTGCTCCAAACGCTTTAACCGAAAACCAACCAAAAAAAAATACATAGTTAAAGCCGAATATTAAAACAACGTTTTCAAACGTTGGCCAAAAATACAAACACTATTCGGCAAATAAAAATTTACAAAAAACCGTCAGCAAAAATCATACACATTCAAAAAATGAGTGTCAAGTTGCCAACCACCCCAAAGCATTTTCAAAAACACCATTCAATATCGCGTTTAAACAAGTTGGGTGGGCGGACCGGCCCGCGGCAACTACGCCAAATCCAAAAAGAAATGTTCAATTTTTTAAAAAAAAAAAAAAAAAAAATTTTCGATTTTTGAAATAAAAGAACCCCCTTAATTCTAATTTTCCGATGTCTTGTAAAAGAGTGACTCAACATTGGACTTCTAGAGTCCATAACTTTACCAAACTTAATCTGATTCCAAAGTGGCATACCTCTAAAGAATGGTGATTCAATTCTCTAAAAATCTGCATTCAAAATTTTCAATTTAACGTTGATCAAATTTTTGACCCATTTTCATGTTAGTTATTTCTAATTTTCCGATGTCTTGTAATACAGTGACTCAAAATTGGACTTCGAGAGTCCATAACTCTGCCAAACTTAATCCGATTTTAAAGTGGCATACCTCTAAAGACTTGTGATTTGATTCTCTAAAAATCTGCATTCCAAATATTCATTTTAACGTTGATCAAATTTTTGACTCATTTTCATGTTAGTTATTTCTAATTTTCCGATGTCTTGTAATACAGTGACTCAAAATTGGACTTCGAGAGTCCATAACTCTGCCAAACTTAATCCGATTTCAAAGTGGCATACCTCTAAAGACTTGTGATTTGATTCTCTAAAAATCTGCATTCAAAATTTTCAATTTAACGTTGATCAAATTTTTGACCCATTTTCATGTTAGTTATTTCTAATTTTCCGATGTCTTGTAATACAGTGACTCAAAATTGGACTTCGAGAGTCCATAACTCTGCCAAACTTAATCCGATTCCAAAGTGGCATACCTCTAAAGAATGGTGATTCAATTCTCTAAAAATCTGCATTCAAAATTTTCAATTTAACGTTGATCAAATTTTTGACCCATTTTCATGTTAGTTATTTCTAATTTTCCGATGTCTTGTAATACAGTGACTCAAAATTGGACTTTTAGAGTCCATAACTCTGCCAAACTTAATCCGATTTCAAAGTGGCATACCTCTAAAGACTTGTGATTTGATTCTCTAAAAATCTGCATTCCAAATATTCATTTTAACGTTGATCAAATTTTTGACTCATTTTCATGTTAGTTAAATCTAATTTTCCGATGTCTTGTAATACAGTGACTCAAAATTGGCAACCTCTTGAGAGTCTATAACTCTGCTCAAACTTAACTTGATCAAACTTTTTTTAAATCTAAAAATTTTTTTTTGAGTCCATAACTCTGCCAATCTTAATCCGATTTCAAAGTGGCATACCGCTAAAGACTTGTGATTTGATTCTCTAAAAATCTGCATATTTCATAACCAAACAAACATTTTTTTTTAGTTTAAATTATAACGGCTTCTATCAAATGAAGCACACTGTTTAACTATTTTTGCAGTATCCCTTAAATTTCTGCGCTGTTCACAACTGTTTCTAACCGCTAAAGTTTGATGCAATTTAGATTTATTTTAAATTTTTGCGGTAAGCTCTGGCGCCAGACGATGTCGATATCGCGAAGCCCCTTTGCCTCCACCCTTTCCCCCTCTTGGTTATTCCTCTTGCGCCCACAAAGTGCAGCCGTTGCGAAAATATTCGCTGTTCAGGCAAACTTAAAATTGTTCAGTTATTGAAGGGACCGTTAATTATGTTTTTTTGGCCAAGCATTTTCTTTGGCAACTTTCGGGCAAAATAAATAGGGAAATATGGCCAAAATCCTGAACAAGCCGCACAATATCCGAAAAGGGATAACAACAAGATAGTCCTAAATTTCATTTCAGCAGCCACCGACACGCGGTTTCAATATTTTGGAAGTTAACATTCGTATAAAAGCTTGGCGGTAGTGGGGAAGTTTAACCCGATTTCAGGGAGTTGGGGAAATTGATTGTCAACAGACCTTACACTTTTCGTTCACAACAAGTACATAACTTTATTATTAGATGCTTGGTTCCTCGATTCGATCCGATCCATGACAACGAATGTCAACTAAACTAAATCAACCCAAGTAGAAGCACTGCAACACGCACGTTGAGGAACGTTCTCAAAACTATTTTTAATTTATATAAAAACGTCTTGATTTTTAAAATAACTGGTATGTTTGGGAAAAAATTTTTAAAAAGCTAATAGAATTTAAACTATTATTCTGTAAAATAAGGATGTCTTACAGGCTCAACTAACATGTATTAGAAGACAAGGTGTTAAACCAGATATTGAAACTAAAAACATCTTAAAATTTAAAAAAAAAAACCTAATAAAATCTGATAAAAAATTTTCAGTTTTAGCTTTGGCCAAAATATGCGGATATAAAACTGGGAACTAGTTAAACTCGCGTTCGCATTTGTATGACGGCGCTGGTGTGTGTGTTATTTATGCTTAGAACGTGACTGGAAATATGAAATGCAGCAAATGTGTTTACTTAAATGAAGTGAGTGAAAATTGACAAATACACACAGAGGCACACCCACAAGACGACTAAAATGCAGTGCTAGGGCGTCTGAAATAGGAGGCGTGGCCGGGTCACATCCGACTAGCGAGCTTAGGGCACATGAGAAATACGCCAAAAATGGCAATGACGCTAATCCCTTGGCCGGCGCAACTCGCACACATACGCGTGCACAAGTACAGTGGGCACTCTGGCAAGCAAGATGGTTCAAAATCGAATTTTCCAAAAAACACTTACAGATTTTATAAATTGAGCCTTTCTATTTCGATTTCATATTGGCATATTCTCAATTTAAAGGTGACCAGAATCTGCAAAGCTCTCATAATTTTTCTCAACGGGTTTCGGTATCAAAATGTTGATCTATAGAAATGATTTTCAAATGTTGGTTTTTAAAATTAATTAGCTGCTCTGACATATTTGTATGATTTCCTATGATTTTTAGAAAGGTGACCTAGAATTTAAATTTAAAGTTGAAAGGGGATTGCCTTTTAAAGTTTGTGGTTTAGTTTTCTACACTTGTATTTAGGTTGGTTATATTTTGATTACCTATTTTAATGCTGCAAGGAACGACTGTGACGTACATTTGAACCAACACACACTGTGCGGAAATATGTCAAATTCAATAACAGCCAAAGTGACGTGCTTCCTGATCCGCGCCCCTTGAAAACCCTTGTCCAGGATAAATCTGACGAAGAAGAAGGAGCAGCAACTGCGGCGCCAAACTCTGGACAATGGCAGCCAACTTTATACCCCCATTGCCCCCTCGTTGTCCTGCAGCATCCGCATCCCACTGGCCTTATAAAATGTACGATTTTTCTTCATTTGATGAAACGAAATACAATTTCTCAACGAGCAACGCAACTGAACGCAAAAAAGTTGGTTGCAATTGCAATTTTCTTGCCAAATCAGCGCACGCTGCTTGGTATATTGACATTTTTAAAAGCCAATATTTCTCCGACTTGCAGACCCAATGCGTTTTCCTTTCGCGGAGGAGAAACACACACAAAGTACGTCCAAAGTTGGATTCACGAATTAATTTATTTGACTTCGGAAATGTATAAATATAAATTGAATGAGGCTCACATGAATAGTTTAACAATGAAAACTGGCTCAGCGCAAGACTCTTAAATAAATTAATATCTTGAAGGTTTTTTATGTTTAAACAGTAAACTTTATATCTGCATATATACTGCATTTGGATTTTTATTTGAAGTCGGGGAGATGCATTGCTCATTTGCTTTGCCTACTAATTAGCCGAGGTGCTTGGGTCATTCCAACGTTCTTTGTACCCCCATTTGTGTCGCTGCAATTACACTGATTAATGGTGGTTTGGCACCCACTAAGAACGCCTGCGGTTTTCCACACGTTCAGTCCCTTTTTCCACTATTTTCCGCAGGGTGTGGAAATGAGGAAACAGTGAACTGGGAATGACAGTCGAAAGGAAACTTTTTATTCGCACAACTTTGACAAGTGAAAACTGCAAACGCAAATGAAATTAGTCGAAACTATTTGGGCATTTCCGTGGCAATGAGGCGACCATCCACTTCATGCCAATTTCCATAGGCATCGACATCCGCATCCGCATCCGCATCCTCATTCGCATCCGCATACTCACCCGATTTTACATTCACATTGGTTCTGGCAAAGTCAAGTTCGTGACGCGCGTTATTTCTAATTATGTTCGGGAGGCTCCAAAAGGACACACCTAAACCTTACACAGAAAAAAATTTTAAAACTATTTTTTTATTCACTTTTTTATGTCTAAGTTTTGAGTATTAAAAATTATTAAAATAAAATGGCATTCAAAAATACGTAATTAGTATTATAATAATAAGCATCTTCATAAGTTGCATTTCAAAAAGATAGATAAGTTCATAAAATATATTATTTGTTCAAAGCTAACAACACGATCCTCTTTTTTTTTGTAAACGGAAAGTTGGCTAATTTAAAGTTCTGACATTATTTTATGTAATTGGTTTAATTTTATTTATAGGGACATTTGTTTACAGTTTGGACCCCACCTTATCCAGACAGGACCAATTTGATTTCCATTTGGTCGTGGGCCGATTTCTTTTCTTTGCTCGTTTTAAGTAATTTTAATTGAAAAAATTCTTCAATTTTGCCATCCATCTGACTGGCAGGTTGGCCCTGGCCCGTCCCCATCTATCCCCATCTATCAGTCGACAGCCGGAGAAATGTAATTAGCCCGGCCCTAACCCCTGTCCCGCAAAATCCACCGCCTCTTGTCTGTTTGTGTCAACTTTTCAATTAAATATTCATAAAAATGCAATTTGCCAGCCTCTTCGCTGGGCGGAAAGATATTCCGAAATTACTTTTAAGTGCTGCATAAGGTCAAGCCCCGTACCTAAATGGCTGTTATGCGATTGATTTGAGGCAGGGCTGGATCCTAAGACAAACTATAAATATTTGTTGTATATTAAACCTATTAAAAATCAAAGAAACTAGGCTATTCCAAAAATTCGATGACTTTAAGACAGAATTCAAAGGCAATGCAAATCAATTAAAATTAAAATTAAAATATTTAAAATTGGATTTCATTATAAGGGATACCAAATTAGAATCTTTCCCATTTGTTTGAGTAAATTAAGGCAGGCGATACTAATATATTTATTGCTCTAAAGGTTTCAATTGTTAAACTATTAATTTGCTGCTTTGCATCCCTGATAGTAAAGCAAGTAAGGGAGTTCAAGACCACGTGGGATTGGGGAATCCTTAATTAAATTTTTCACGAGGTGGGCAAGCGGTAATGCCAGGTGAGTTGTAAAGAGAAAGAGCTTCAAGGATTCGCTAATTCTAAAAGCACCAGCGCTTTGTCTGGCAGTTGGCATCGGCCCTTTGTGCAAACGAATTGGCGATAATTAATCATTGCTACTGCGGATAGTTGACCGCTCTTCGATTTGTTCCGTGACCTGCGATTCGCGCTAATCATTTCAGCTACTACTACTTTAATTAAAAACCACAACGCTGTGCGGCAACTGGCGTAAGTTATTGGCTTCCGATGATTTGCTCCTTTTCTCCACACAATGTCACTGCCACCTGATGTTTGGCTGTTAGATTGTGGCCATAATCACAAAAGGCACCTACTTCACGTACTATACATTGTGCGCAGGAGGGCGAAGAATTTGTAGGACAGTTGTAGGAGCTGCAAGGGAGTGAAGTGGATGAACTGAAATCACATCTGAAAAGAGACTGTTATCCAACTTACATCGGACACGGTGACCAGGGATACACTCAGGAAAATAGTGGCCTTTAAACGACTGGGTTGTTGGGCTCTCTTAACAATCAGGACTAACATTTTTCGATAGCGTAAGTCTGCGTGGAACCAGTCGTGGTTGTAGACCGCCTCACCTATATGCTCACTCTGAAAATTAGTTAGAAATGTCCAGTAATATTTTGTAAGTCTTATAAATTACTAGAGATAGGTCCTTAATTTTCTTAAATATTACATAGTCCTTTTAAATTAAGTGATTCAAGCCAAATTAAATACAGAAACAAGGAAATTATTTTTAAACATTTTTAAACTAATATTATATCAAACTTACCGCATCGATGAGCCGTTGAGCATATGCGGCAATCATGAAAACCTGAACCATGGCGCAGAAGAGAAAGAGGACGAGCATCACCAGACTGTCGATCTTGCCACCGATGGTCATCTGGAATCCCACGAAGCAGATGATGAAGGAGGAGGACACAAAGTTGCAGAGAAGTGACACTCCAAAGATCTCGTTAATCTGGTGGCAGAGATGCAGCAACCGCTGATGATAGGCCACCGCCGCCTGAAGGAATTCCAAGTCCCGCTGGGGCGATGCAATACCCGCGACATGTCCCTCAATGTGCCCGGAAAGGCGGAGGAAGTGCATCACCAGTAGGTTGACCAGGGCACACATCAACATATCGGCTGCCAACTGACCAGAGAGACACGCCTGTCCAGCTATATTCTGCGATACGTACATCAGGTAGTAGCTATAACCCGTACTCCAATCCCAGGGCACCCAGCAGTAGTAGGGCAACATCCTCGTAAACTCCCTTACTCCCAGCCAGAAATCGCAGACCAGGTAGTAAACAGCCCAGTAGAGATTATAGGTCCAGATCAGTACCATATGCATGCCAAAGTAGAAGACGCTATAGCGACTGTAGCTGCTCAGGTGATCCTGCACATTATATGGCTCCTGCTGATCCAACCGCTTCGGATGCAATTGCTCCAGCTCGTCCACCACTTCCGTGAGTTTGTGTCTCTGCCGCCAAATGTGCCAGATTTTGAGATCCCCCACAACGACGAAGCCGATAAAAGATAGATTCATGGTGGCCTCCAGAAAGTTGCTACCTCTGCTGATTGCCAGGAATACGTAGATCAGTTCCGAAACGAGCACTGCATTCAGGTTCAACATCTGGGCAATAAACATCCAGTGGAGCAGGAGCTCCTTCCTTTTGCCATTATCCTTATGATCGTAGGCCAGCATTCCAATCGACAGATAGAAAGCATTTGCATACTTCAGAAAGCTCTCCAGCGGAATGGGCTTTAATTTTTCCTGCTCCTTAACGATTTGAGTGTCCTTTTCTGCTGCCATAATTTAATTGTCTAATTTCCCGCATCGTTGGTCCCATTTATATACCAAAATTAATGTTGAACTCAGACCCCGCCAGTGCCAATGATTTAATAATTTACTATTGCCATACACAGTAGACAATTACACCGCCCACTTGATTAGCATGTACACGGCGAGCATCTCTCAATTAGGACGTTGTGAACCCGCCAGTTGGTACATTTCGTCCAGGGGCGTGGTTAATTGCGCCTAAGTCGAAATCGATGACTCCCTTGATTGGGTGTATCCAGTTGCTCACAATTGTCTGCGATTAGTTTGGCCCCGGGTGAGCATTTAAATGGACAAATGTCAGCACATAAAAGTATCTTAGAGCCCAAGTAAGTTTCCTTTAAATTAATAGTCTTTAAAATTGCTAAATATAAAAGCCTCTTAATATTAATAATATTTTCAGTCATTTAAAATGTTGTAAAAACGGCAAAGACGTGCTCATGGCAGATGTTATGGGATAAATAAATGGTTTGAAGATTCCAAATCTTATCTATAATACATACTCGTATATCTTATAGTTCCAAACTAACAAACTCGACCTAAAAATTATAATTTATTTCATTCATTTTCCAACTTATTTGTTTTTCTTAACTGTCTTACTTTCACCTTAGTGATATATTTATTGTAGTTTTTGGTTTTCCTTATGTATCAACACCATTTTTTTGTTTTTGAACATTTATTGTTGATGCTTTGTTTTCCGTTCTGATATCTCAAAGTATTTGGAGATCCATTTATGTGTTTCCTTTATGGCATGGATTGTTTTTGTTTTGTCCTTGTTTTTGCTCCTTGACACACTTTCTTGGATGAGAGGGTGTCAGTGACATGAGTCCTTCGTTTTTGCCTATTTCCTGTTTACACACATCGAGTTGGCCGACGATGCATTCGGATTCCCATTTCTTCTGGGCAGATGACACCCAGCTTATGTCTGGATCAACTGTTTTGCTGCCTTCGAGTAATGCTGAATTTGCCTGCATTCTTTTCACTGGATGTTTATTCGCTCGTTTGTTTTAATGCAAAAAGCCCTTGTAATGTTGCAATTAAATTCGATTCAGGGAGGCCAAGAGATGACAGCCCAACGTTCTCTTTCTTCATCGTTTTTCTGATTTGGCATCCGACTCTGACTAACTGACCTCATTTGCGTATCGCATTCCTAATGAAATTTACATGACTATTTCGCCACAGCCATGTTAATGAAGAGCATTTATACACAGCTGCATGTGTGTGTGTACCTACTATATATCGCCATATGAGATTTATTCTCAAATGCAATTAGCATTTTAAATTTATCCCATGCAGGGCACAATTTTTCACTTCTTAATGGCATTTGTAATGTTAAACCAAAATTAATTTAATAAATTGCTGTTGCCGCCCTTAATGTCTGTCAGAGTTATGTAATTTTAATGCATTTCTATTTGCCACTTTAAGTTTTTGCGGTGGCAGCGGGTCTCCGTTTTTTTGTTGGACATGTGGGCATGTTTAACGATTTATGTATGCATAGGAAAAGTGATTGGAAAATGTCGCAAAAAATAGTATTTACAAAAGGTTTTATTGATTTTAATTATTTTATTTTAGTTATTGTCGACAATCCCATAAAAAAGTTAATGAACAGGTTTTTGCATGGGAAAATATGGCGGTAACAAACTGGATTAATAGTAAACCTTATTTGTGGGAAGTCTATAGGGATTCTTTCGAACTATTATCTTGGTTTTCATTTAAATATATCCCTATAAAATTAATACAAAACCGAAAAATAAGGAAAACAAGTGCGCTTGCCTATTAACATAATTAGTGTATTTTTGATTACAAGGTAATTTAAGTTACTTACATTTATTTTCTCACAACATTTTTCCACTTGAAAATGCATATAATGGTCATTAGCTTAATTTTTAGCAAAACATTTGGCTTACATTTGGAGGAAAACAGCTTTCGCTTTTTCGGCAGCTCGTTTTTCTGCTAATACTTATGCAGATTAATCTGCATACATATAGTATAGCATACATACAGCACCCCTTGGCTGTGGAACAAGGTCCTTGAGTTTTCGTTTTGCATTTTGGGGCCGACCCCTTTTGGAGGGGATTATCTATGGCGAGTACCAGGGACAAAAAGGGATTCGGCGCGCCTATTTGCTCTCCCTTTTCTTTTTCCCCATAACCCCACCCCTGTAAACAAAGCAATTATGTGTATATGTAACTTGCATGGCATACGATATAAACAATTGCGTTCATATAAATAGCACCGAAACGTAGGGGTATAAAATAATTATCTTCCTACTAAGTAAATCAATCTTTTATCATTTATATATCTATCATTCTCTCATATATAAAACCATTTTAGCAATTTAGTTTTTTTTTTATATATGTTTAGTGCTAGTGTGTCTGACCTCAAGTGTAAGTGCATATACATCGAGTATAAACATTTTCATTTATTTTTGTGTGTGTTTGTTGCAGGGCTCTCGTTGTTGGTTAGTTTGTTGCAATGTTGCATATTATCAAAAACATTTGTAGCAGGAAAACAGACCGTTGGATGAGTTTGAGTTGGTCGAGGGGCTGCCAACGATGGGGTATACATATGTGTATATTTTGGCTGCTGGCGTTTTTGAATGTTTGCCAAATGTTGTTGGCTTTGGCGTAATTGTTACACCAACACTGAAATGTGCAATGATAAGACCGCGATGTGTTTTTTTTTACCATTGCCATTCTGCTTTTTTCCACCCTATATTTATATTATTTTTTCGACTTGCTGCCATTGCCCTTTGCTGGCAGTGTGCCACATTCCTTGGCAGTGCACACATGCTAAGGGTGTCCCCTTTCCGTTTCACGTGGCCAGCATAATAAACCTAATTCGAGTTAAGATGTTGCGAAATATAATATGTTGGATAACTGAATTACTTGTTAAAATTATTTTATTGATCTAAAATTGTAGTTAAAGATAGTGTGAAAAATAATAATATAAAGGAGTGCCTTTAAAATTGTATCACTTTTGAAGGTGACTGAAAGAATTTATTACGATATTCTAAAGACAGATTTTATGAAGAGGTTTATTTCATTTTTTAGGTCACCCGATAATAATTATACCCTTTATACCTTTTTATGCATTATTATGTTTTAAAAATCACTTTCCTAATGTGTCACTTGTGTAATCAACTTTTTCTTTTAGTTTCCTTCAACTATGAATATTTTATCGCTTTTTTTGTTTTTAGTGTGATATTTTTGAGCAACTCCTGCAACACCTTGTGTGATTTAATAATCCTCACGTGGGGCACGCTCCAAACAAGTTCCTCCATATTTCAACCCATTCAGCTGGCTTCAGTTGTGCAAACTTTTTTCCGAGACGAGAAAAAACTTTTGCGCTCCCAGTTTATTGGGCTGTTACGTTGGCGAAAGCGCTTTCACGTCTGAGGGTTAAACTCAATTTTAAATGCATTTTTCTGGTACTTAAATAATTTGGCTAATATTTCGCAAACGCGGTCTGAATATGACTGTGCGTGCAAATTGCCAAGGGGAATCAAGGGAGAGGTGCTAAATCGTCTGCCAGCTGTCGTCTTCTTAGAATGTTTGTCCTTGCCACACATATGCAGACATAAAGACAGATGACTTCGGCACTGGTTGGTTTGTGTATTTTTGAGCTTTGTTATGTTTTGATTAACGGCAAATCAAATCAAACGAGATAATGAGTCGGAATGGAATTACTTATGTGTGCACTCAATGAGCCATGCAGTCGGCTGAGCAAAAGATTAATGCTTTAATGGGTTTCAATTATATCCCCATCAAATTAAGCACGTTGCTCATACGTTTCGTGACATCGTATTTCATCCATTGCCTTTGGGATGTATTTTTTATTTAACTCATTGCTCGAAGCCTCGAAATTTCAGTGTGAACTTGTCAAATGCCCATACTTAGAGCAAAAACAAAAGCTACACCATTAGTGGCGTTATTAATAATCATAACAAATGCTCACCATGACCCAAATTTGCGCATGGACATGCTCTCCATTGCAGCATTTCCCTGGAGAGACGAACGGCAAATTATTGTATAAATATTAAACAACCACACACAATCGGGCTGTAGAATGCGTTTTGAGGGGCAAATACAATGGGTAGATAAACAAAGCCCGTCGTCTGACTGCGGGCCAAATTTGCATAAATTAAGGAACAGCAAACTAATGGCACACACATACAATGCTTTTGACAATACAAAATCAATCATTTGGCGTATGATTCAAGCATTAGGGCAATTGTTTGAATCATACGCCTAATAATTGTTTCTATATTATAATATACTAACCATAGTTCAAGCAAACCAAATTCTTGAATGTCTTTTAATTAATTTTAAGATACAACTGGGTATACATAATTCAATACATTTTTTAGTCGCTTCTTACTTAAAATTATTTCAATGTATTTATTCTAAGTTTAAGTTTTCCCTTCATTCCATTGTCTTAAATACACTTTCATTTCAAGTGCACCTATATATTTGAGCAGTAATATAAAATAAGTACCTATTTATGTAAATATATTTATTTGTGCTTGAGTAGCCATGCAAATTAATAACTATTCAATGCATATAGTGCATATAATCATCATTATTGTCTGGCTCATTTGACAGCAATGCCATTTTCAGGTTCACTTGAAAGATTTTCCGCACCTCCCAAGTCTACCAGGTACATACAAATAAATTTAAAGACAAATATAGTTGTGCAGTCTTATATAAATGCACACATATATTTGTCACAGCTTGACTTCAATTGCAAAATTGGCTGCACTTGTGACAAGAGGCAACCTTTTTGTAAATATTTCATTCTGGTTTTATTGGTCTGTGGTCAGCTCGTTTCTGAGGTTATAAAGTTAATGAATTGCATTTTGATATGTGTTGTGGACAACCACCTCCATTTTGCACCTCCCCCGCATCCGATTTCCGATGCCTTGGGCTGTCTTTTAGCCTTAACAATCTTTAAAGCGGAAGCCTTGCCAGAAAATC